TAAAAAATATATATAGTAGTTTACATTATCACTCTACAGAACAGACATCTAGAAAAGACCCCTCACCTTAGGGACTAGTTTAAATGAAGCTTAAATCCCACAAGTTTACTTCAGTATTCCCAGAACATTTTATCTACTCATATACAGAATCAGTTAGATTAAGTCAATGTGTCAGCAAACTCTTTAAAGTGATTTTAGCCTAGTTTTTACATTTAGGTAGAGAGTATATCAAGGACATGAATGTAGTCTTGTGTCACTATGTCATTTTTGAGTAATAAAAGCTGCTAAGATAGAGCTGCTGTTTACCCCCAAGGTCTACTACAAGACTTTTCACTCCATGTTCAAACAACTGATGAAAGGCAAATGCCCTTAAAAATACAGCTGCCAAGCTTTTTTTAAAAAAGGAAAAAAAACCAAAAACAACAACACAAAAACTGTCCTAGGTAATCAACATCTTCAGTGACACTTAGAATCAGGTCTTCAGTTTAGATTTCATGGTTTCAAGCTTTTATTTATTTTTTGCAAGTGATGAAGACCAAAGGCGGAATGACATATCTAAACATTGATCTCAAAAGCTAAAACCTAAAAAGGGAAAGTGAAGAATTTTGTAAGAAAAGCTTGCTTTTCTCATAATTCTTATAAAAATTATATAGGATGATAGATAATATTTATAAAAATCTTAAAAACTCATTTTTAGAAATTTGGAAAATAACAGAGACAAGCATTCAGGATAAAAATCAAAATTTCTTTATCTTCATTTCCAAGGTAATATTGTTGTTTATATTTTGTTTTATTTTCTTTTAGTTATTCTCTGTGTAAATTTTAAAATAATGTGATCATCACTTTCTACCTATCTATGTATATGATATTAATATATGTATATAATTTTTGTATAATTCCTCTTCATTCAATGTTATAAGCACATTTCTATGACATCATTTTTTTCCACAAAGGACTTTGGTGGGTACATAATATTTATTCTATGATTACACATTGTCCTATTTTGAGACAATTAGGCTATTCCCAATTTGCTGCTTTTTAAATAAATAATAAAAATATATTTTATAAGTCTGGTTCACTTACCAAAACAACTGTTCTCTAAAATGTATGCTTGTATCTTTATTTAATTATATTACTATATTTTAAGTTACCAAGTCAAAACCAAAGAATATGGATATTTTTAACATTTATATTGCCTATTTAAAATGCATTTCCAAAAAGATTATGACAATTTATAATCTAATGAAATATGAGTGTGTCTAACTCATTATACTCTTGCTATTTTTGTCATCAATTTTTATACTTCACTAGCTTTATTGTTTAAAAAATAGTACATTATAGTTTTTTTTATAATTAGGATGTTTAAGAATTATTTTCATTTTATTTCTTAATACCACTTAACTTTTTTGCTTCCAGCTTCCTCATGTGCCCCTGAACTGCTCAAACAAGAAAACACTACAGACTTAAACTTCCAAGCCCTTCTTCCTGAAATATCATTAAAAACTATGTCAGCTTAGTTTTCTATTTTCTCATGACCTTGGCCTTTGATAGACTACAGTTGTTTCATGTGATAAATGAATATATGCTAATGGGATAAATGATTTTGAGTGAACTATTGCAATCCAAAAGAACAGGCTGAGCACAACCAGGAAGGCGTTCTTGCCCACCTGTTAGAAGAGCAAGATGTGTATCCTGCCCATCACTGAATGCTTCTGAGCTTTGTGCTTTACCTGATATCCTGGGACTCAATTCCTTTTAAATTAAATGATGATAATATATGATGTATTATATCAAAGTAAATTAAAACGATCCAATAAGTCTTAAATGTAATGGATTTTGTAAAGAAAAGAAAAACCTACCAGTATATTACATTTTAGTTAAGGGAGTCTCTGCATATTATATGCCTGTATGTCACTACAGTACACAAATGGATTCTCCCAATAGTGATGAATTAGGCCTCTAGAAAGACTATTTTTAAAGAGATGCTATCCTCAAATAATGGCAATGAAACAGTTTTCAAACACAGGACCAGTCATGGGAATAAGACAACATAGAAACAGAAATAAGAAGTAGCCAATTTTATTTTTAAAAATCTATATAATACTAGAGCAATGCATTTGCAGAACTAAGAAGATGATTTTGCAGAGTATTTTTTAAAATGTTGAATCTGTTTTGCTAATTCTATTTTTAATTTAACAGGCTTTTATACAAGGAAACAATTGTAATCTGTATGTATGTATCTGAAAGCTATAGATTAAGGTCAAAATATTTTGCTCTGACAGTGAATGTGAACAGCAAAACAAAAGTAAACTATTAAAAAGGCCAGTGTTGTTAGATAAATCACAAAATACAAAATAATCACTCTAATATAAGGCAGCCAAAGAAGCTGATGGGAAAAAGATCAGATTCATCAATACCTAAAATGGTATAGAAAATGTTTGTGCTTATCTATTTCCACAAAGTAAAAAATAGTTGCTTGTCATTATCTTTGTTTGTTTGTTGTTATTTATTTATTTTGGTTATTACATTGTATGTTCTCTTTATGATATAAATGTTGCCACTGGACTACTAAATCTTTTGACTATTTCCTAAATATATTTATCGGATCCTTTTGTTGTGATAGAGAGCTAGAGGATTATCAGAATGCCCCGCTCGGAAGCCCAGCTGAGGAAGATTAACTTTAGGTGGTTAATTGTGTATGCTCAGAACTGAAGTCATTTTATTTTAATTTGTTAATTGGAATTGAAAGTTATTAATGATGGAAAGTAATCTATATGTTTTTCTCTTTTTATTTCAAAATATTAAGGGGTAAAAATGTTTTTGTTACATGGATACACAGTATAATGATAATGCTGAAGTCAGCACTTTTAATGTGACTACCTCCAGGATAGTGCTCATTGCACCTGATCGGTAATTTTTTATCCCTCACCCTCCTTCCAGCCTTCCCCCTCATGGTTTCCGGTGTTGTCCTTTACATCTCTTTGTGCCTGTGCATACCTATTGATTAGCTCCTAATTATTAGTGAGAACATATGGTGTTTGTTTTTCTATTCCTGTGGTATTTCACTTAGGATGATGGACTCCAGTTCCATCCAAGTTGTTGCAAAAGACATTATTTCATCCCTTTTTATGGCTGAGTAGTACTCCATGATGTGTGTGTGTGTGCATGTATAAACATGCACACATACTCTCTCACACATACATAAACCACATTTTCTTAATCCGCTCATAAATTGATGGTCACTGAGGTTGATTCCATATCTTTCCAATTGTGAATTGTCCTGGGATAAACCTTTGAGTACAGGTCTCTTTTTGATGAAATGCCTTCTTTTCCTTTGGGTAGATACCCAGTAGTGGGATTGCTGGACTGAATGATAGGTGTATTTATATTTCTTTGAGAAATCTCCATAATGTTTTCCATAGAGGTTGCACTAATTGCAGTTCCACCAAGAGTATATAAGCATCCCTTTTTCTCTGCATTAACAAGCATCTTTTATTTTTTGACTTTTTAATAATGGCCATTCTTCCAGGGGTAAGGTGATATCTCACTGTGGTTTTGATTTGCATTTCACTGTTAGTGATGTTGAGCATGTTTTTATATGTTTGGTCATTTGTTTATCTTCTTTTGAAAAATCTCTGTTCATGTCTTTTACCCACTTTTTGATGTGCTTGTTTGTTTTTTTCTTGTTGATTTAAGAAGCTATTTTAGGTAGGTTTTTCCTTTTTACCTCACCTCAGTCTCCTGCCATTAGAGAAAGTAGAATTTTACTCTCCCCCCCCCCAGAGATTTATGCTACACTTTTTCATTCCAAAGAAAAAGATATGTTTAGTTCTTCCTTGCTTTACAGTTCTGGGGATCTCATGAGTGAGGAATACCAAATTGGAAAAAGTATAACGCTGGGAAAGGGTCTTTTTAATTATCCTGGAGGTGATCAGGCACTTACAAATATTCAAATTTAAAGCTATAACCACCATATAGACCTTGCTATGCATTTGATACCAGTGAGCTAGCCAAACTTGTTTCCTAACAGAATTCCTTTTTGGCTATTTTTTAATTTACTTTGTCATCTATAAAAAAGAGGTGCTGATAATACTGGAGAAAGTATTTGGAAAGTATTGGAGAAAGAAAGCCAATTTGTATTGCAAGAAAACTGAGCTTTATCTAAAATTATTTATCTATACTCTGTGTTTATGCTGAATGTGACCTACATCATTAAAACATTCGGGTACTATATGTGAAAGTATATGCAATGTAGAAACTGAAGACTAAACCATCTTGGTACTAATACTATCTGTGACACACCCTAAATAAATACTATAATACTATTTTACTTCAGTAATTATATTTACTGATTAATGAATCATTGTTGGATTCAGCTTCCATTAAGATCACACTTTATCATTTTTGTGTAATGTCATAAAATGACATTTTTGTGTAATGTCATAAAATGTCATTTGAGTCATTAAAATATGCTCTTTCTGATCATGTAATAATGACAAAACTAATCAATATTGCTACCAGGGATACTAAGTAGGCTGAAAATAAAACACGATTTTTATTTATTTATTTATTTATTTAGTATAAGCTTAGATACAGGAACGATTTTTAAATCATGAGAATTTGAATGTTTTGTTTTAGAACTGACGGTGAACATAGTTTTGATGATGAACCATAATTGAAATTAGGTAAACAACTCTTCATTTATCTCATTCACCTAGATATCTGAATTTGCTATTAAATGGGTTCTCATTTCAATTGTACTTGCATAGTTTTATTCCATCTACCTGAATCACATTTGCTTAGACTATTCAACAATACTAGACATGTGATCATTCATTACAGGATTCCCTTTATGAACAAAATTCCTAAAGTTTATCAATGATTAAAAATATGGGAATATATAAACAACACCAGAATGAAAATAGAAAATACAAAACATCTTAGAAAAACAAAAACCCTCAGATAAGAGCCTATTGAAAAACATCACACTCAAATCTTACTCAGAATAGCTCTGTTGCCGAAGTTGAACGCAGCTACACTGGGGTGCGCCACTCCCAGACGCGGAGACGGGGGCCCTGGGGCAGCAGTGACATCTGTCTCCAGGGTGGGGCCCTAAGTTCTGCAATAGAATATAAAGCAGCAACACGTCAGGCTACTGGTGATATCTAAGACACGTGAAGAGTACACACTTGCAAACTGTCTCCCAAAAGCTTTTCCATGACACTTCCAATCCTTCCTCCATTCTTAAGAAAAACAGTCTGAAATGTAGGTGGTATAAGTACTACTTTTTCCTCTTCTAAGTAGCAAGAAGTTTTACAGATACTCTCAACTAAAAAATAAAATAAAAATGACATAATATCTTTGGAAAACAAAAAAGAATTAAAAATGCGTATAAAAAAGAAATAGTATAATTTTAAGGCAAATTTAAATAAATATGAGTATTATTTTCCAAGGATAGTGGAAATTTATCACATCAACAAAATACAAATAGACTATGTTGGAAAAGTCAATTAAAGATCAATGTAATGAATATATACTCTCACTTAAAATAAATCTGTATATATTTATATGTTAATGGATAAAATTGACAAAGATGCACAGAAGATTACTAAACTATTATCAAGATTGGAATGTCGTGCCAGCAGTTTTCCCAAAGCTGTGTCATACAGAGGGAATGAGATGGAAAGATCACAACACAATTCACAACACTGGAGATCAACACTGTAAGTTGAAAGATCTGTATGACCAACAAACCAAGGGAGAGGATACAGAGTCTTCATGGAGATAACATGCAAAATGAAGTAAGTAAATAAATAAAATGAATTGATAAAATTGAACACATTTACGCAAGTGTTTAGAATTGAGGTAGGGGTGGGAAAGAGGTGGATGTGATTGAGAAACAACTAGTCATTCTTCTTCAAGTCAAAGCTTTGTTGCTGCAGCAACGTGTAATAGGTGAAATTTATTATTCGTCTTTATGTTGCATCTTGATATTTTTCTCTTGATACAACACTAATTCCTCTCCTTGCATAACCAGACACCAAGGTCCAAGTCTTGAGGTTGCAGACAGACAATAGCCCAGTGTCTTCCGGCCCTGACGTTCTGCCTTAGAACTTACCATAGTTATCTTCCTTAAGTTATAGATGAATTTCATGAAACACAAGGAGGCTAGCTCCATTTCTGAAGTCCAGTATGGAGGGAACCAGTCCTGAACAGTTAAGGCTTGCGTCTCACGTTTTTATGACAATCCCCCATTTTGCAAATAACTTACATTATTGATTAACTCATCACCATCCAATTTTCCCCTGGGAAGTCTTCCTCTTGGAGAACTATTTCCTAAAATATCTCGGGCTAGCCTCTCCCTTTAGATTCATAGTGCTGTTCTTATCCAAACTCTAGCATTTATTGCTGCCCTAGAATTGGGTTCAAATTTCTATAACATGTTGAGTCAAAGAGATCAATCTTAAACTTTTCTTACATGTTGTTTAACCTTGAAACAAAATACTTGCACTCGTGCACATGTGTACTCACACTCACACAATTATTATGCTCAAAGTATTTTTATGAAGATTAAATCAAATAGCATAGATTGGCTCCCAGCACAACTACTGCTGTATAACAGACATTAACTAAATGAATGGCAGTTATTATTGTTATTAATTATTGTGTGATTATTTTAAGGGAAAAGGGTGATCAATTATGTCAACTATTGTATAATTCAAGTGGGGAAGAAATTAGAAAGTCATTTGTCTATTGAGGAACATACAGTAGAAACAAGAAGGTAAGAGTTCTCAAGAAGTCACAACAGAGAGTATGTATTTTCTCAAGAGTTTGGCAATAAAAGAAAGCACAAATATAGAAAATTGAAGAGAAATCAGATGCGTATTTCTTTTGTCATAAGGGAAAGTCCCAAGCATAGTGATAAGCCAAGTGAAAGGGATATAAAAATGGAATGAGTAAAGCACACAAGTAGAACTAGACATACTATTGAGTACTTTACTATGCTCATGGCATATAAATGCTTTGTATGCATCCTATTTATATGTAACCTGTTTATTTTTACTAATAGTTTTGTGAGATATATGATATTGTCATACCCAACCCCAGTCAGAAAATCAGAAGTACAGATTGATTAATAATATGTGCCTATGGTCACAAAGCTAATATGAGATAGAGTTAGCCATTGAACACATGCAGGCCATCACAATAGTTTTAACCACTATTCCATGCTGTTTCTCAAAAAATATTAGTATAATGAACCAAGAAGAACCAATAACCTAGCTGAGATTGAAGAGGATGAGATAAAAAGAGAGATTTTAAAAGATTAATTTTACAAAATATACTTATTTTTGAACCCTAGAGAGAAGGAGACATACACAAAACATTTATTTCACTCTAATCATATATTAGACAATAGGTTAAGCCTCGGAAATGCTGTTCCTTTGATTCAGAAGAGAAGGAAAAGAAAATTACTAAAAATATGGAGAAAAGTTTCCATGTGCCAGATAAAAGTATTGTTAGGTTTACAACGAGCTTCAAGTGTTTGAGTAAAAGAAAGAAGCACACTGCTCTTAGAGAAATGTAGGGGAACTTTGGGAGAGGTAAGATTGACTTAGTGCTAATTAGATCCTTGTTAGTTCTTATTTGTTTAGTGCTTATTATTAACATTATAGTTTGCATGATTGCTAGCCAGGATTATCTTGCAGTCTGTGGCAAAGGAACAGTAGAGAGAGATAACTGATTATCTAAAAAAGAAAGGTTACATTAATGACATCCCTTCATTAACACCTTCTGTGAAACAGAAGAATTAATAAACTACAAACAAAAGCTCAACACTAGCACAAAATGAGTTGTGTTTTGTTTGTTTTATTGTTTCCTTAAATATGTTTAAAGAAGCAGGAAAGTCTTGGTTTCCATGGATATTCTTCAAATTAGAATGAAAATATACACAGTTTTGACCAACCAATTAAGTAGATAAATGTCTGTATCAAGTGTCACCTCGGGTGTATCATACAAATAAGAATTTAAGTTCTGGATCATGGTTTTTTGATCTTCTGGATCATTAAGGATGCTCCAGATTTCTAAGTGAGGTAATTTAAGGCATTCTTAATACTTTCATTGTAATTTGGAGGATGAAGACAATTTTGGCTTGATCTGCTAGTCCCTTGCCCTCCAAGTTATTAAAATAGCAATAGGTCTATCAAATATTGACTTTATGGTCACAGAAATAGCCACTATGTACTGTCACAGAACTATAAACTTATTTTTTGACCCAGTATGCTTATACTAAATTTTTAAAATAATTACTTCCTGGAAAATCTTATTAATAAAGAATTCATAATTGAGGATATGAATTACAAAAAGCTGAATTTTGTATAAAATATTAACATTTAATTTTATCAGGATGTATTTTCTCATGAGTTAAACAGAGAATTGCCATTTCTACCCATGAAAGACTAAATAAATCTCTTGGGTTGAGAATAGATTTGAGCATATAGAAAAAAAAAACTAACACATTAAGGGACTAGTAAACTTAAGTCAAAAGAATTATATCATGTCATTAAATTAGTAAGTCCATTTTTCTTATTCACAATTACAATTTAAAATTACCTATGACAAAAGGCTGTTTTGGGGCATGAAGAAAATTCACAGTTTTACCAAGAGCCGTGTGAGGAATGGCTTCTGGGAGGGGAAGAAGCCGGCTGGGATGTCAGTTGTGTGAAGAGAGGCACTTAGAAAAGGGCTAATAGAAGGAAAATACTGTTAGCAAAAACTTCCAATCCACCTTTCCCTTAAATATAAATATGCTCTTACTTATAAAATGCTCATTCCTATTCAAATAAAGGCTAAGGTTGAGGTTGTAGCAGTAGGAAAGTGAGAGTTAAAATTTTATATGTGGGAAAAATCTCAAAAACAGATCAGTGCAAGGAGCACTTCTGAACAGTGATATGAGGAGCTTTGTGGACCCTTCCTGAGGAAAACAAATACAACTTGTGAAAACTATTTATAAATGACCATTTTAGAAAATATAGCAAATTTAGACACATTTACTCAAGAAATTCTACTGAATCTCTTTAAGAACAATGAAAGTCAGTGACATTGAAATCAGACCAGCCCCTTCCAATCCTTGACCCCCATTACAGCTCTGCATATCAGCTTTATTTCGGGGGCATCCAACCAAGAGGAAGGGAGGGGTCTCTTTCATCTAAATTTCCAGTATAGGGCTACTCCAGGAAGAGCAGACCACCAGCATTGCCCATCCACCCCAAATCCTTATGGCAGAAGTGCTATTTCATGCAAGAACCAGCAAGAGTTTTAGGATACCCTTTCTCTAACCAGTACCCACGTGTAGGGTAGAAGCTCTAATCCAGGCACTGTAGGTTCAGAACACTGGGCCCCCATCAGCACTCAGCCCACTTGTAAGCCAGGGGTTCCACAACCACGAGAGGAAAAAAAGACTAGGGACCACCAACCTGCCCTGATCTCTGTTTTTAAAGCAGAGATGTCACACTAAGAGAAGCAGATTGATGTCCTCACACCCATTTCTCAAGCAGTAGCACCAGGGAAGGAAGGGGCAGTTCATAAGAACAGAATCCTCTGAAACAGCTATACAGCAGTCAGCCAAAAATTAGTGGGGCCTAACAGCTGCATGTGAAACTGAAGAGGCAGGAAGCTTAACAGAGAGATCAAGGGAAGAAACAAAAGAAACAATGATAAAAACTTTCACTAATATACAAAATTCAATTGTACTTCTGGTGTATAGACACCAACAATGATAAGATCAAAACATTAAATTACGAAAATAATTTTATCTCCAATAACATAAAAATAATAACATACCTAAGAATACATTAACAAAAGGACAAGACCTCTACTCTGAAAACCACAAAATATTGTTGAGAGTAATTAAAGACAAAATAAATAAATGGGGAAAAAATCCCATGTTCATAGTTTGTAAGAATTCATAATTTTAATATGTTACTGCACTGGAAATTTATCTACAGATTCTATGTCAACCTGTAAAATTCTGTGTGCTATTTTATAAGAAATTGAGAAGTTAATCCTAAGATTCATATGAAAATGGTAAGAGGCACAGAATAGCCTAAATAATCTTGACAA